TCGTTTTTGGTTTTGGGCTTTTGTTTTTTGTGCTTGTTTTTGTTGTTTTTTTCTGTCTTGTTTTGGTTCTGCTTTTGCGATCGCGGCGTTTTTCCGCGAGCTCGGCCCCCCGGGCCCCCTGCACCAGGCGCTCTGGGGCCATCGAAGGCGGGCCCCCCCGGGGGGCAGAGCTGCCCCCCGGGGGGAGGGCTCGGCAGGGCTGGGGTCGCGGGCGGGCCAGGCCCTGCAGGAGAGGGCGATGCCAAGAGGCACCCTGCCTGCCTCCAGGGTTCCCTGGGTTTCCTGGGTTTCCATGGTTTTGCCAGGGAGAGCGTTGTGGAAGTCGATGCGTGGAGAGGAGGCATGCTGCCAAAATGATCTTTCCAGATGTCTAAAAGATGTTTCGACCATGGTTTACATCTGTACAAACATGGTTGAAGCATTTTTAGAACATGCTTTTACACATTTTAAACACATATTTAAATTAATGCTGGGATTGTTCGAGTGTCCATTGTCATGGCATCCATACGGAAAGCGTGACATCACCACATTAGAAATCAATGGACTTCCTGGGGTCTCAGGGTTTGGGTTTCTCGTGAAAGGTTTCTCGTGGACTGGCCTCCACTGTAGAATCAAATCGGACCTGTCCCTCTGCGGGAGGAGTATTCAAAAATAGTAAAGAAATAATATGGGGACGATTTTTGGACTATGTTTGACCATTTTGGTGTATATTTTGTCAATCTTTTATTTGTCGTCCGAAATCCGCATGTAGGGGGACATGCCCGACCTACCTTTAGCAGAGGATGTCTGGGCAGCTTAGGCCTTGAGGTGCGCGGGCGTTGCCTTTTTTCACGCCGAGCGTTTGCGCTCGGCGTTTCGGGCCCCAGGCCGGGGTCCTCCTCCTCCTCCTCCTCCTCCTCCTCCTCCTCCTCTGTCTCCTCCTCCTCTTCCTCTTCCTCCTCCTCTTTTTCCTCCTCCTCTTCCTCCTTCTCCTGCTTCTTCTCCGCCTTCTCTTCTTCCTCCTCCTCTTCCTCCTCCTCCTCCTCCTCTTACTCTTCCTCTTCCTCCTCCTCTTCCTCCTCCTCCTCCGCCTCCTCTTCCTTCTCCTCCTCTCCCTCTTCCTCCTTCTCCTCCAGATCGATCCGGCTCGAGAAGTGCCGCCGCGAGGTTGTTTCCGCGGGTCATGCCGTGGAATTCGCGTTGCCGCTTTGTTGTCGTTGAATTCCCATTTTTGAAGAATAATTGTTGTTGATCCCCCCCGCCCGGTGCACAGTGTATTTTTTCGATTGAAGTGCCCCTCCCGGGGCTCGCACTCTGTAATTTATCATCCCAGGTCTTGAGGGTCAAACTGTGTCGTTGGCCACCGGTTTACAACAACAACGGCTCCCGCTTCACAATGTATTGAAGAATCGCGCTCTTGCTTGGGACTTCCTGGCAATTTGTCACCGAATCGCGGCTCCCGCTTAGAAGAAAGTCTCCTCCTGCTGAGGCGCGGCCGGACTAAATGTTTCCTTTCCGGGGGCCCGTGGGGCGCGGTGTTCCGCCTCCGGCTGAGGCGCGGCCGGACCAAATGTTTCCTTTCCGGGGGCCGGTGGGGCGCGGTGTCCCGCCGGTGTCCCGCCGGTGTCCCGTCGGTGTCCCGATGATGATGATGATGATGATGATGATGATGATGATGATGATGATGATGAGATGATGATGATGATGATGATGATGATGATGATGTTGTTGATGATGATGATGGTGATGGTGGTGATGATGATGGTGTCCAGATGATGATGATGATGTTGACGATGTTGATGATTATGATGATGGTGATCGTGATGGTGGTAATGATGATGTCCCGATGTTGATGGTGTTGATGATGATGTTGCTGATAATGATGATGATGGTGTCCCGATGGAAATGATGATGATGATCATGATGATGTTGATGATCTTGATGATGTTGATGATGAGATGAGATGATGATGAGATGATGATGCTGATGAAGATGATGATGCTGATGATGATGGTGTCCCGATGATGATGATGAGGTTGAGGATGATGCTGTTGATGATGATGATGGTGATGATGATGATGATGGTGTCCCGATGGTGATGGCGTTGATGGTGATGATGATGATGACGATAATGGTGTCCCGATGATGATGATGATAATGATGATGATGATGAGGATGATGATGAAGTGACGATGATGCTTTTGATGATGGTGGCCCGATTATGATGATGCGGATGTTGATGATGATGATGGTGTCCCGATGATGATGGTGATGGTGATGGTGACGATGATGATGGTGTCCGATAATGATGATGATGTTGATGATCATGCTGCTGCTGATGATGATGATGATGGTGTCCCGATGATGATGTTTATGTTGTTGTTCACGATGGTGATGAGATGATGACGATGATGATCATGGTGGTGTTCCGATGCTGATGGTGATGGTGTCCCGATGTTGATGATGTTGATGATGATGATGGTGACGATGATGGTGTTCCGATGATGATGGTGATAATGATGATGTTGCTGATGATGGTGATGAGGTGATGATGATGATGGTGTCCCGATGATGATGATGCTGATGATGATGATGATGATGATGATGATGATGACGTTGATGACGATGCTGTTGATCATGATGATGAAGTTGACTGTGAGATCGATTGTGATATCGATGGTGAAATCGATAGTGAGACAGAATGTGAGACCGATCGTGAGATCGATAGTGAGATCGATTGTGAGATCGATTGTGATATCGATAGTCAGATCGATTGTGAGATCGATCGAATGAAATAGATCGAGCGAGATTGATTGTGAGATC